TGTAGGTGTGCCCTGCCAAGGGTGGTAAGCAAGGCCTCTGGACTGTTACCTCCCCTGAACAAGAGATGCCAGTTGCACGGACAAAACTGATCACAGCATCAGAGACCAGGAGATGTGCTTCAAAAAGACAAAAGAGCCCCTAAGGCTGAAGCCTCTGCACATCTCTTCCCCAGTGCACTCTTTCCTGTGGTCCTCTCTGGACAGCCTCCCTTGTTAATGCCTCTGACTTCACTGAGAGGATCTTGTCCAAGAGAGAACTGGAGGGAGAATCCTAGCAGAGGAGCAGCCAGCAGAAAAGTGTGGGAAAATTGGAGTCTGAGTCCTGGGATGAAATGAGGAGTAATTAAAAGGTTTCAGTATGTTTTAAGGATATTGTTTATCAGGGTAAAGAAATTTCTCTTCATTTGGTGTGCAAAAAGGTAATGTTTGTTAATGTGAGCATATGTTAAATTTTATGAAATATTTTTATATATGCTGAGGTGATTTTATAATTTCTTTCTTAAACCTGTGTATATAGCAAAGCATTTTAATTGGCCTTTCTTATGTCAATTGACATCTGTATGCTTGGTGTAATTTCAATTTGTATATATGTACTAATCTTTACATACCATCAGACTAACTCTGAGAGTAGATTCTGTGTGTAGGATTTTTGTGTTTTCTTATGTTTTTTGTGTATGTCCAGGTTATGCCAGGCTTACAAAATTACATTTTAAAGTTCTTTTCTCTCTGTTTTGTGGAAGAGTTTGTAGAAAAAAATCTTTTCTATTTATGAATTTCTGTAGAAATTAATGGCTATGTCAGTTCCCTACATGGAAAAAAAACTTTGACTGTTGATGCAATTTCTTTGATTACCTAGCATCTCAACTTTGCAATTTCTCCTTAGTTATGCAGCGACATTTCTATAATGTATAGAATTTCAAATGTATCAGTATAAATTTTAAGTGTGTTGATTTAGTTTCTGAGGGTCTACAGTAGTTGTATAAATATTTCTTTTGAAATTTTTGGCATAAAATGTTTATGCCTTCTCACTTTTTTCCTAATTAGCTTCTCTAGAGATTACTCATCTTTAATAGATTTTTTCAAATAGCTTCTTTGTATTATTATATTTCTACTGCATGCCTTGTATTTCATTAACTTTTGCTGTCTCATTTCTTCTTCCTACTTCATATCATGTATTAATTTTAGTTTGTTAAAATATATAATAAGCTCAGTAATTTCAGTTTTTGTGATATTTAAAATTTAAGATCAAAATTTTCTGTACCTGTTTTAGATATATTCTGCAATGTTTAACAATTATCATGTGCAAACATTATATATTTTTTAAAAATTATTCAGAAGCTAATAACAAGTTATTTAAAGATATATTTCTTTTCTCTAAAATTATGGGGGGCAGGGAGATGGCTTAGAAGAATAAGCTATTGCCTGGCAAGCACAAGGCCTGAGTTCAGTTCCTGGTTCTGCAAAAAAAAAAAAAAAAAAAAAAAAAAAGATTTTCTGCTTATTTAAATGATTTGTTGCTTGCTTATGCAATGTGCAGAAAATATGTCAAAGATTTGCATTTTGGGAATTTCTAAAATTTCACTTTATGGGACCTTTTAGGGATGAGGGCAGTGGTGGCAGGAGTAGAGCTATGAATTTGGAGCCAGGTTGGGTATGCCTTGCATTCAACACCAGCTTGCATTGTGTAGCAAGACCTTGAAAAAAAAAAAAAAAACACGAGGGTTTTTTTCTATTTAAGTAAAATCAGAGAGGTATTAAGTTGGAAGTGTGGTAAGCAACAGAGACAGCTTCTCTGAATATGACTGGCAAGACCCTGGAATAGAGCAATGTGAGGAAGACAAGAGGGAGGGAAGTGGTCCCTTGAACTCAAAAGGATATGAGTTGCAACTTGAAGCCCATAGAGAGAGTAAAGGGAAAGCATTTAAAGAAGAGGAAGGAGGGAGCCCCCAGCAGCTTCTCTCTGAGATGGGACTCACCCTGTAAGACAAGTGATCCAATCCTCTAGACACGTGATGCAATAATTCAAGTGTCCATTCACAGATGAATGTAAGAATTATGCTTCAGATTTAAAATGTTCACACAAGGAACTGGATAATAGACATCGTATAGTTTGTATGGGGATCAAAATAATATTCCAAGTGAAAGGAGCCAGACACAACAGGTGGCAGATGATTCCATTCTTATGCAATATTCAGAATATGCAAATTAATAGTCAAAAGATTAGCAGTGCAGTGTAGAGGAAGGTGATATAAAGGAGAAATGGGAAGTAATGTTTAATTAGTACAAAAAGTTCTAAGGTACTACAAAAATTTTGAAACTCTACATACATATTTTGACAGTGCTAAATGCTACTGAACTGTATGCTTTAAAATAACTACACATATATTATGTTAACTTCACTTCAGGTTTCGAAAATAAGTTAAGATCCTGTTTGAAAATAATCCCTTTTAAATTTAAAAATTCTCATACATGAAAAATGTATTGGGTTGTTCTTTAAGGCATTAAAGATAACAATATGTGATGAAAATCAGGTAGAAATTAATTTAAAAAGGAAAGAAAATCAGTTTTATTTAATTGTTTTTTATTTGCTTATCTTGCTGTTTCAAAATTTTACAACCTTAGAAATTAATTGCATGTAATTTTTACAAGAAAACTAGGAAACAAATACTATGGTGGTACTGATTAATCAGCATTCCTTAATGTGGTTCATCTGCTTAAATTCCAGCATCGAGTAAGAAAGATTAGAATAAAAAGTAAATTTCATTGTATATACACCACTGTTCTAAGTGTTTAATATGCTCACTACCTGAGCTTCATAATCTGTGTGGGATTCTAAGGAAATAAGTACAGCGATTTCTCTGAAAAATAAAAGTAAAAATTCCAGCTCTTTCCCTGCTATGTATCTTCCTGAAAAAGGTAAAGACATGTTATTATAGTGATTCACATATACCCATGTTTATAGCAGCACAATTTATAACAGCTGCATTTTGGAAACAACATAGATGTTTATCAATAAATGGATGAAGAAAATGTGGCATTTGTACACAATAGAAATCTATTCTACTATACAGAGGGATTAAAGTAGGTCATTTATAGAAAACTGCACCTTCAGACCTTAATGTTAAGTAAAATAAATTATTCACAAAAGCTTAACTATTACATAGTTTCTCTTATATAAGAAACCAGAGGCCTAAATAAATTTAAAACAAGAGCTAAATAAAAGATAAACAGTAGTAAACAGACAGATTTTCTCATATAGGAAAAAGACAAAGACAGGGAAAGAAGGGGAATAAAGGAGACAGGAAGAGGTCAAAAATTAAATAAGTTGTCTCAGGTTTAAGTCCCCAAAAATGTAATCATTGTGTAATACAAACATGTACTATTAATTTTTTATTGCCTGTGGGAGATAAACAAGTGCTATTTTTACTTTCTACTGTCTGAATTTTCTTCATAAGTATATACCCTATCTATAATCAGAAATATATATATATTACGTAAAGGTTTACAGGGTGTTCAGGGTCTCACTACTAAATCAGATGCATAGTAATCCACCTGTTTACAACCTCCCAAGAACTGGGATTACAGGCTACCACCACCATGCCCAGTCTCAATTGTCATCTCATCTCCCCCCAGGGACAGGGTCAGGATGGCAGGTCCTGGGATTGAACCCCGTGCCCCCTGGGCCTGCAAGCATCTGCTGAGCTATTTGGCTGGCCCTTTTTGTTGTTTTGTTTTGTTCTATTGATTTATTTTTGTTTTTAGGACAGAGTGTACAAGGTCTCACTGTGTAGATCGTACTCCTGTAGTGATCCTTCTGTTTACAGCCTCCCAAGTGCTGGGATTATATGTGTGCGCCATTTCAGCCAGTCTCAACCCCCATCTCAGCGCATCCCATGGGCGGGGTCGACATGGCATGCCGGGGATCGAACTCCTGGCCCCTGCATCTGTCTAAGCAGTGCTCTAATGTACTAAACTATCTGGCTGGCCCTCTTATTTTTAAATTTCATACCATTGGGAGAAGTAAATTAAAAACAAGCAGTGATTTCATAAATTTGGTGGTTTTCTACTGACAAGGAAGCTACACTGGAATTTTATCTCCTCAAACAATATTTTTCATAGAAAAAAGTCAAATATAGACACATAAAGAGGAAACGGAAATCGGCAGAATCCAGAGAACAGTTGTCTCTCAAGCAACACAGAGTCAGAGGATTCAGTCCCTGGCAGGTTGACTCCAAGGAAAAGCACTAGAGTGAAAGGTATTGATGGATCAAAGCAATTCTCTTCCTCTAGCCCAAGAATAAGTGTATAGATGTAGCGCCCTAAAGCCAAGGCAGTAGTGCCTAGATGTACACCCTAAACACCTCCATCCTTAATTCAGGTGGTTCAAGAGGACTCGACTACAACTCTCCCAAAATAATGGGAGTAGTGGGAGTAACCTATGTTAATTCATGAATTGGACTTCTTAGGCCTACAGTAATTTCCTAATTTAGACCAATAAGTGCCACACACAGAAGTTTGTTTAAAAATTTGAGAAGAAAAGTGCATTCCATCACACTGAATATTCATAATTAAATGAGAGGTGTGTAGGACACCCTGGGAAGGAGGCTATGGAGATGGAAGGGTCATCAGGCAGGTTTAGTACATGGTGGCCATGCTTTGTTATTGTTTAGTACATCACTCCAACATGACCATCATGAAATTGAGTTGTGGGAATTCTGTCTCTGTCACAGGGTCAGTTTTATTTCCAAGAGGCTTGTTCCTAGTACAAGAGAAGGGTCTAATGCTCATCTGCTGCAGGATCTATTCTGATAGATTCTGCTGTTGTAAATTCTATTGCCGGGAACCCAGGCTTCTGATGCTGTACTGGCCAATACCACATCCTCCAGGCCCCACCTTACATTCTTGGTTTCATCTTATGGGCTGTGATGGGGAGTTTGCACTGAATCATCAGCTGTGGTTAATGTATGATTCTCACACAACCACATAGAAGTCATCAGGGGACGCACTGGGAGTAGAACGCTTTCATAGAAAGCCTCCCGTGATGAAGCGTAACAAAGCCATTTGAAAACATAAGGTCATTAACTCCACCCCTGTCCTCTGCAGAGAGATAAAGGAGAGTAAGTTAAAACTTCAGAAGCTCTCACCTGGGAAGCCTTCTTGGGAAGATGCAGCTGCTTCTGCTCCTGTTGGCCTTTTTTCTACCCTCCAGGACAATGGCAGGTAAGTTATAACCTCCTCCTCCACTCTCCAACCCCAAATCCATTCTACAAAGGACATGGATGCCCTTTCCCTCTTCACACCCTGATCCTTCTGTCTTCCATGATTGCTCTGAACCTGACCTCCAGTCCCACAAGAGAAGCCCAAATACATACTGGGTAGACTACCGCAGACTGTTCTCAACAAAAGCCAGGGGACACTGTCCTCTCAATAGGCCCCACCTTTGTAATCTGGGAAGTATGTCTTTCCTCAGAGTGTGTGCAAATGGTAAGAAATTACAGGAGAAAGTATCATACTCTCCTGGAGTGTTCAGAATAGGCCTGTCATCCGAGTTGCCCTCATCAGCTGCTTAGCAGAGAGGCCCATAGCTCAGGGAGCCCAGAATGTATGGAATCACTCTCCCCAAAATAGTACTTCTGCCTTTCCTCATTCCTAGCCCCTTTCTCCAAATCTGCTTTCCTCCCCAAGCCTTATTGTCCACCTTACTTTGCATATGAGCCACACAGGCAGACTTTCTTTCAGACCTTCCAGAATCCCATCAATTATGCCCTACCACCCTCCATCCAGAGACTCATTGGAGCTGTTTGATCACAGCTACTGAACATTTTTGAGTCTCCTACTAAATGTCAGTTCTTAGGTAAGTGGATCAGATATCTAGAGTACACCTGAGAAGAGAACTGAGGAATTAGGAATAGCCGCTGGGATTTTATTGTCTTCAGACAGGTATATTCATATTCAAACACATGGAGAAGGAAGATTTCTAGACAAAGACCTGATTTCCCTCCCTATGCAGAAAGTTGAAGCTCATCCCTGCAGGTTCCTCCCAACTCCTGAGCACCCCAGTGGGCCAATTGCTGAGCAGTTCTGGAGCCACCAAGGTGAGGCTCATGCAGTGAGTCAGTGGCTGCAAACCAACAGTATTTATCTTTCAGTGGAGATCATCGGGGGACATGAAGCCAAACCCCACTCCCGCCCCTACATGGCCTACCTTCAGAATGGGGATGGTTTGACATGTGGTGGCTTTCTGATAAATGAGAAGTTTGTACTGTCAGCGGCTCACTGTAACGGGAGGTGAGTAATGGAAAACTTTGCACTGTCTTGGGGAAACCAGAGAACCTTCCTCAAAAGGAACTCCCTGAGCTCCTGGAGAAATAAATGCAGGAGACTCTGTGAAGGTGAGAAAGGGCCAGCCATGTCTCCCAGGAAGATAAGGAAGTTGGCAACAAACTAATTTCTGACATCAACAGACCAGGGCAATTAAGCCTGGTAAGTGTAGAACTAGGACTGTGATTCTTTTAAGGCACAGAAAAATAATTTCATATGTTTTCCTAAAGAGAACTGACTCTTAAGAACTTCTAGTGCCCAAGGTCAAGCATTTACCAAGTTGTTAAGAAGCAGAGGGCACAATTATTCAGTCAGTTAGCACTGCTCTCATAGACAGCTCCACACGACACCAGCTGTAAACTGTTCCTTATAGTTCCTATCATGTGTCCTCTATTTGTTCATATCCCTCCACTCATTCTCCCATTTGTGCAGCTCAATATATGTCACCCTGGGTGCCCACAATATCAAGATGCAGGAGAAAACCCAGCAGGTTATCCGTGTAAGAAAAGCCATCACCCATGAAAACTATGGTCCTCGAACCTACACCAATGACATCATGCTACTGCAGGTAAGTCACACCTCCCCAGTGCTCTTGGTCTCCCTGTGCAGGGTTGCCCCTCCCACTGGGACCTGTGCCTTCCTTCTGCCATCATTTCCATCACTGTGTCCAGGCACAAAATGCACAGGCTGATCTGGACTCTCTTACTTCTTTCCAATCAGCTGGAGAAAAAGGCCAACCTGACTAAAGAGGTGCAGCCTGTCAGGCTGCCAAAAGGCAAGTCCCAGGTGAAATCAGGTGCTGTGTGCCAGGTGGCTGGATGGGGACTGTTGGCCCGGAGGGGTAAAAGAGCAACCACACTGCAGGAGGTGGACATGACAGTGCAAAAGAATGAGGTGTGTGAGACCTGCTATGCCAACTATGACAGAGCTTCTCAGATCTGTGCTGGGGATCCAAAGATTCAAAAAGCCTCCTTTAAGGTAAGACTGAACACCTATCACTCTTAGATTTGGGATAAAGTGTGTTTCAGATAGATGTAGGACCAGGATCCCCAACCAACAGGGCTTCCTCAGCTAGTAGGTTATGGTAATTCTCCCTGAAAAGAAAAAATGAAGCAGCCTGAGGTAGGAGGTAACTAAGGCTTCCACCACTTTCCAAAGGGCCTCTGCAGAAAAGTGCCCCTCTGGAAGCTGGAGTTTGGAGTTTGCAACAAGCTGCCTGAGCTCACATCCAAGGCATTAGAAACCATTCCTTGGGTTGCAGTAATTATAGCCAATTAGCTCCACACAGACTCCTAACCCTCTTGGAGATTCATTCTCACTGCTTGATGTCTGGCCCGCTCATCAGTTTCTATATCCTTAATCAGGAGCCTGAAACCAATGGGCCCGCAGTACTCTACAGGGATGAGATTCCCAGGACCTCAGGGGAGGACAAAGGCTGACCTTAATAGGGAGGTACAGCAGGAACAATGTTCAGAGTCAGAGCTTGACAGCTATGGGTCCCAGGGCCTGTCCTTCCCCCTCATTTCTCAGCAGCAGAATATGAGTAGTACTTCAAGAGGGTTTTGGGATTTCAGAGGCAAAGGTCCAGGAGGTACACTCCCTTACAGCTTCATGCCTCACTCTCTATTTGCAGGGTGATTCTGGAGGCCCCCTCATGTGTAATAATGTGGCCCAGGGCATTGTTTCCTATGCACCAAAGGATGACACAACTCCACAAGCCTTCACTAAAGTGTCACATTTTCTAAGATGGATAAAGAAAACCATGAAACACCATTGACTGTAGAGAGAAAACTAAACACCTTTTGGAGAGACCATGTTTCCTGGACCTGAGCCCAGAGGTGCTCTAGAGCAGACATCATCAGTTAAATAAATGTCTTATCTCAGTAAAAACACTGGTTGCTTGTTTCTTCACTTATATTCATTCTCAAAGACCAACTCTACGTTAAGCAGGACTGTAATATAATTCTGCTGATTTCTGCCTCCTCCCTTCCTGCTTCCCTCAGTACCTTCCCAAGTCCACACTCAAAGCTGTTAACCCACTGCTTTTGACCAGCTATAGTTTCCCCATAAAATTTCCTTTTGTGAAGAATGAATACCAGCACCATCAGGAAAAATGTTCACTGCTCTTATACTGGGTCTCAGGGTGATCATGTGACCAGTTTGTGTCATGTGGCAGGGAGGAAGGGGGACAATTTCATGCATCCTGAATATCAGTCAGGCACCACTGATGTCACCACTCAGCCCTATTATGCTAAGTATTGGTGGGTCTTCCTGAATAGAACATTTCCTCTTACAGGTTTAGAGATAAAGGGGCCAAAGGTATCCTCAGTGACTCTTCATTTTCACCTGAAATTTATTTCTTTTCCCTTTCTCTTCAAGGACCAAGAGTAATCTAGGTCTATAGATCCGGGTGCCCATTTTATATTTTCTCCTCCCACAGTTGTCACAGTCCACCAGCTCCTGTTCTCTTTAGGTTACAAGGACATGATGTGATTCCTTAAATTGCCCCACCTAGGACATCCAGAACCATGTGTGGTTCCATACAAGGCCCATAAAGGACAAGGCTGGTGGGATCAGAACCTCTTACCCTGCATCTCACTTGAGCAGGGCTCCTTACCCATGTGGCCTCCTGCATGCTCAGGGGCCCTTGCATCTTAGCCTCTTTCACCCTATCCCTGCTGATAAGTACTAGCCTCTAAGCTAATACTTCTGTGCCCACATAGGCTATACCAGTCTTCTATTTTACAAAGGATTCCTCTCTGCAGAAGGAGAGGAAAATGTGCCAGGTTCCATATATCAGTAAAAAAAAAAAAAAAAAAAATCCCTGAATGTTGAGAACCACCAGGATGACTGTTTCCTCTTTTTTTTTTTTTTTCTTTATCTTTTCTTCTGTACCAGGGATCAAACTCACATGCTCTTGCCAGGCTCGTACTTATGCTGTTGAGCTATCTCCCCAGTGGCTTTTCTTGAAAGAAAAGTATTTGGCTCCATGTTGGCTAACTTTGCCCTAATTCCATATATTGATGTGTACAGAGTGGACAAGGATAATATTTTGTTTATTCATTTATTTTTAATTTATGTATTTGGTACAGGGTCTCACTACACAGCTTGAACTCATAGTGATCCTCCTGTTTTGGGAGTCCCCAATGCTGAGATACAGGCATGGCCCATAGCTCTGCATGCCTAGGGGATCCAACCCTGGTCCCTGTAATTGCCAAAGCAGGCATTTAGTCTGCTGAGTTATCTAGCCAGCCTAGGATAATATTTTATTACCTCAACTGGCTTTAAGCAATGCAAATGATCTAGGGGAGGTGCTGATGTGTAGCCTTTGAAGCAATGGGCAGGTCAAAGATGCCCACCTGTAGCTCCTACTGCTAAGTGTGAGCTAGGCTGAGAGACTGTGCTGTGAACTGGAACTGTGGCTCAATGACGAGTTCTGGCTCCAAGGCAAGAAAGCCACACATCAAAGCTGAGACAACTGACTAAAACCCAAGACACATCCTTAAAGTGTGTTATGGAGACACCTCCAAACTTAGACACTACCTCTTACTTGAATCTGGTACTCTTTCTGCAAACCACTCTCTGCATATTGCAGTAGTGCAGTTCTTCCTACCTGGCTCCGCTCAGAGCACTCATGGACTTCACACCATTCTCCTCCTTACTCAGCCCCAAGCCACTCCCCTCTTCACAAATTAATAAACCCATGTTCAGCCCTGGGGTTGAGGCCTTTGTACCAGTTAGTCATTGTTCAGACTGGACTGAGGACACCCCTTGGCTCCCACAACTGAAGATACATGTTTGTCTATTTGTTCATGCTGTGGGTTACACTGGAAGTGGTAGATTGGAATTGACTTATTAGAATTACAATAACTTTTCCCTAGGATTAAAAATAAAAACTCCTACAGACTAATTCAAAGCCAACGCAGGCTTTCTCTAAGTATCTACTAAGACTAAGGCCTTAGGGATCTAAGCATAATAATAGCCCCTTGAAACAGACAGTGTTGGAGACTTTCCAAATTAACCGGATATCTCCCAGATTTGTCCATAAGGCCCATGTGAGAAATATATGGAAAGAAAATATTTTGTTTTTCTTCCTGGATACAATTTCTATCAGTAGTATGACACCGTACTCCTGAAGTATATGAAATTTGGAAATGAACTTAGTCATTCAGTGTCCAAGTATGAAGTTGCTGAATGAGTCAAAAGAAGTCCTTTTCATGTGCAGAGTGGCAGCACGTAGGTAAGAAGATAATGGGAAGAGTTATTTCATTTTTATGAAAAATAGCGTGCATCAGTATCACTACACAAATTCAAATTGCAGGAAACATGCATGTCTACTCTACCCATGAAAACTGTAATGCCTGTCAATATGAGACTGCCAGCCTTTTCAGAATCAAACTTGAGTCAGGGAGCCTGCTATGGTGGAAAAATCCAGAAAAATCTGGAATGATTAGCTCACCATTGTTACTGTTACATTCATGGCTTTTTTATATTACCCAGGCTTCTATGTTGGGAAGTTCTTAGCTTAGAGGATACCACTTCGATTTTTCTTAAACAGATGTCTCCTGGGAGTGGGCTAAGTTTGGTCAACACTGCAAGCTGACCTCGCTGCGGGGTCATATCACTCATACTTAACACTGCCAGGCACAACTTGGCTGTAAATTAGTGCTTCCCTGTCCCCAACATACACAATATTATACTCTTCTGCAAAATGGAACAAAATCTGCTGAGTTCATAGAAGTCCCAAATGCGTACCTTTCCCATCTTGTCCTCAAATCACGTTACATCACAACCTCCTAAACAGGAGGGATTGGGCCATTTTACTGTGGAAATACAGCTTCTGAATGGGGGCTGGAAGAAAAATTCCTGCCCATAAGATCTAGTTCCTTCCTTAGGAAAAAAACCTAGAAAGTAAAACCCCCAATATACTATTTTAGAAAGTGGCCCAGTCAAAGTATTATATTTACTTTGAAAAAATGCATTTCTAATTTAAAACGTCTTTGAAAAATCATTGTTGTAAATTATACAAATAGTGTGTGCTAAGCAACTGATACAGAAAAGCAGCCTGATGTTTAATTTCTGTGGTTGCTCTGATTTTCATGTCACTTTGCTGGGTGAGTTTCCTGGCTTAGATCTGGGTTTGAAACCCATAACAATCAAACTAGGCTTGCTCTAAAGATAACATCTATTTGGACTTTATACATCACAAATACATGATACATGCCACAATTTTCAAGTGCATTATGAGAGCAGCCATGGAAAGAGTAGAATGAGTGACTCAGAGCTCAGAAATGCTCTTTGCTTGAAGCCAGGTCGAAGATGAGGGGAATGGCAGACAGCACAAGCAGGCCTGTCCATATTTGATTTGCATGCCTTGCTGCACAAACTCAGCTATAAAAAGGTGGAACATTTTCTTGAGTCCAATTCCAACCCAGATCTGGTAAAAAATTGAATACCTGCTTTTACTGAAGCCTGGAACATCCAAAATGGAACACAAACAATGCCATTTACATGGAACCTGGAAAAGCCTCTAATGTTCAAGGTTTCAGGTTTGGCCTGGTTAGAGCACAGTGTGCTGTGCTGGCCTCCCAGGGAGTGGCAGAGTCACAGCTCTTCAGGGGTCCTGGCGGAACTGTGCTCTGCTGCAGAGGGAGGTGTGTGCTTCAGTCGTGGGTTAACAGGTCCTTCTTCCTGCTCACCACACTCTTTAAATGTGGGCACATTATCTATCTCTGCAGTCATGGTCCTCAGGGAACAGTCCCTTCACCTCTTGGCCTTGAAGTATCTTTGGTCTATTCTTCTGAGTACAATGAACAGAGACCATCTGTCAGTACATAATTCTGGTTCTGACCCAGAAAGCAAGCTGTGAGGCAGAAGCATAAGAAAACTTCAGTTTCCTGTACAGAAGAGAAAGACCTGAATGACAAGGGAGAAAATAAGATGCATACTTCAAAAATATACAAAATT